AGTGGCAGCCAGTGCATGTCACAAAGGCAGTTGTTTTTATGTGTGTTTCCTGAATATAACAGACAGGTGTCCGTCTGTCAATATCCAGATGGACACAGAAAATACCTAGTGCAGTGCTTCAGCTTCTGCAGTACTTCCCAGTACTCGAGGCAACAAAATTTTGAATGCTAATGATATGCCAGGCTCTATACTAGGTTCTAGAGATACAAGAATAAACAGTGCATGGCTCACACCTCATTCATGGAACAGACCAAAAATTACAGTGCAGTCAGTGTGTTTGTTAAATGCATTGGTGAATATTTGGCAGCACACACAGGGAGACCTAATTAAATTTAGGGAGGGCAGCCATCTCAGAGGAAATGACTCTTAAGTTGAGTATTGAAGATATTCAGGTGGGAGATCTCCAAGTGATAGGACCAAATGAAGCATCCGAGGTAAATCTGCCTGTGTCGCTCTAAACTCTTAAGTAGTTGGAAGTTGCTGGAGAATAAGACTCAGGGTGGGTAGTGACAAGTGAGGATAGTCAGGGACCAAATTGTAATGGGCCACGCTGTAAGAAGTCTGGACTCTGTGGTAGGCTATGAAGAGGGAAGCAGGGTGAAGAGATTGCTCTGAGAATTGAAGGAACATGTCGGGGTTGAACTCACTGGACACCATGGAGGGTCAATCAGACACGGAAGAAACTAGACTAGTTAAGACACTGTTGTATTCATTCAGGTTAGAAAAGATAAAACCTAATATAAAAAAAGAAAAAAACCAAAGAGTAAAAATAGCAGCTAACATTTATCGAACACTTATTATGTGCCAGATACTAAGTTCTTCAGATGTATTTTTATTTAACTCTGACAGCAACCCCATGAACTATGTTCTTATCATTCCCTTTTTATAGATGTGGAAACTGAGTCACAGAGAGGCTAAATAACTTGTCCAAGGTCACACAGTTAGTAGGTGACCAAACCAAGATTGAACCTGGCATTGCAGTGTGATTCAGAGTTCTTACTTTTAATCACTAAGTTTCACCAACACAGGGTGTTAGGTAATGTAGTAGAGGAGACAGCAAATCTGAGACATTTAATCAAAAGAACCTGGTGACTTTACAAGCAGAAGTTTGCCTTTGAGCTAATTCCAGTTGTGGATGACATGGGTATATGTATATACCATTGCTTGCTTTTTTTTTTTTTAATTATTAAAGTACATTGATCAATGTTTCTTGTGCATTTACTCTGTGCCAGTAAATGCACTAAGTTCTTTATTATGTTATATCATTTAATCTTCTTAATAAGCTACCAAGAAGGTACTGATACTGCCATTTCACAGGTGAATAAACTATAGTAAAGCACCCTGCTCATTATCACAGAGATAGTGAAATGTGAATTTTAAACTCACTTCTGACTCAAAGGCCTGTGTGCTTAATTGCACTAGCCTGCTTTCCTCAGAATGCTTGTTGATTGAATAAAAGTGTCTTATTGGTTTTCCTCTGGCATTTTTCTCTTTTTTCAGTAATCTTGCTCAAAACTCAAATTTAGTGAGACTAAACCTTTCTGGGTGTTCTGGATTCTCTGAGTCTGCCCTGAAGACTTTACTAAGCAGCTGTTGCAGGTAGGAAAGATGTGAGACTTGATTATAGAGCTCTTATATCAAATGTACATTTATCCCTTACATCTGAATAGAACTGTATAAACTTTTTGAGCTATTCCTAGCTCTCCAGGCTCTTGATTTGGATAATGCAATATCTTTTGTTCTTCACCCTTTCTGGGTAAACTCAGGAGGCAAATTGATTCAATTTGCGAGGAAAACTTGTATATTGATCCCTTTTTTATTTGTTACTATTAAAATGAGGAAAATGTAGTAATGTGTTTATCAACAGTATGGTTGAAAGAAATCTGTTTACACTTGACTGTACAGTCAGGGTTTTTTCCCCTGTAATATCTGTAGACTTGACTTACAGTTTTTGATCAAATTTGGTTATTTTGTAAATATAAACCATAAATTTGGGTGATTGCATTAACATCTTTTATAAAAATGTCAGCACATAAAGTGTAGAGTTACAAGTATTGCTAAGTGGGGGGATACATGATTTACAGAATACACAGTACTATGTGTATGTGTGTGTTAATGGTGAGATAAAATGTACGGCCCTATCTTTAGTCAGTCTGGTTTAATGGTTGGACATTATCTTTGAAACCCTCACTCACTCAGTTAGCAGAGACAGGATAAGATCAAGTGGCTTTTGCAATGTCATTGTCTCTTTATTAGGGATCGCTAGTGCAATCCATCAGTTTTTTAAAACAGGTTGGTAAATTGCTCAGTCGGTGGTTGTTTGGTAACAACTTGGGCAGTTTGAGAAAAGAAAACACAAAGGCTAGAATTTCTACCTTCAGTCCTGGAGTGAGGTTTGAGCTCTCAGGAAAGGATAGTTCTGCCCTTCACCTCCACAAGGGGGCAGCATTCACTAAGGCCTTTGCTCAGGTCCCTGGGCAGCTTTCAGGGGCAATCGGAGCAGGGGAGTCTGTCAAGAGAGGAGAAAACAGTTTTCAGATGAGCAAAGTTAGCTGCTTAAAGAAGCAGGCGTGATGGGCATAAAATGGTAAGGAGTCTAGGGCTTTGTATTCTCTATTTGCAGCTTGAGACAAACTCATTCCTGTGTGATGGTTTTATACTTTCCTTTTTACCCCTCTTTTCTGCAGACTGGATGAACTGAACCTCTCTTGGTGTTTTGACTTCACTGAAAAGCACGTGCAGGTGGCTGTCGCACATGTATCCGAGACCATCACCCAGCTGAATCTTAGTGGCTACCGGAAGAATCTCCAGAAATCAGGTTAGAGCTTCCAGGCCTGTGCCACTGAGCCCTAAACAACAAAAAAAGACTTGATTTATTGAGCATCTCCTTAGTGCCCTTCTCCATAAGGTGTCTTATTTCATCCAGTGCATGTGTTATTCCGACTTCTCTGCTGATCAGAAGGGTTAGGCAAAAATAAACAGCTAGGGAGCCAGAGTCAAGATTTGAATCCAGGACCTACAAGTGAAATCTTTATACTTTAAAACGGTTTATTTTTAAGCAGAACTTCTTTTGATCAACTAAATTATTAGGCAAAACCCCAGCATAAAAGTAGATAAATGCAGTATTTTGATCGGTATTAAGCAATGGTTCTCATCTGGGGGCAGTTTTGCCTGCAAGGGGACATTTGACAATGTCTGAAGACATTTTAGTCATAGCTTCAGGGGTGCTGCTGGCATCTGCGGGTAGAAGCCGGGAATGCTGCTAAACAATGCACAGGACAGCAGAATAACACAGTAACACACACAAAATAATCTGGTCCACATGTCAATAGTGCCTTTTATAAACCCTTACCATTCAATTACGCTTTGTTTTGTTTGTGTAATATTGAAAAAATCTTGATTTTCAAAGATAAGTATTTGCAAAAGCAGTTTTTTTAATGGCTTCCCCTTACAGTCTCAGGCTAACATTCAGTCTGTAGGCTGCACAAAACCTGGTTAAACTAGCAACACACATCAACCATATCTTGATGTTGGTACTAGCTCATTTAAGTGTAAGTATTTTGCTTATTATAGTTTTTATTATGCTTAAAAGATTTGAACCAAATATTTGCAGAATGTATCTTTAAAATCTAGGTAATATTTGAAAACGACTTTTCTAGGACATATAAGAGGACACATCATCAAGCTATAGAAAATAATAGTGAGACTGTCATGGGTGGCCAGGGATTAGAGTCCTTTGCCTGTACAAGGACTGAAATTTGGACTGCTGCCGTTCCAAATGCCGGCATTTTCAGACAATGGAAAAGTTTTCTTTAGAGATCTATGACAGCAGCAATCATGTCTTGATTTTTTTTACTACTCCCTCCTCACACAATATTTCTCTTCTATATTTTTGCCCTCTGAACACTTATTTTAAATCCGATTATAGTATTACAGTCATTCTCAAAAGTATGTAAAATACAGAAAAACACAAAGGAAAACAAGTTAATCTAACATCTTGCCAGTCTTTTTCCTATATAAAAATTTTCTGGGGTTTTTTTTGTTTTTTTTTTTTCCAGATTACCCCATTTTCAGTGACTACTCTACATTATCATCAGTGGCTATGTGATATTTTATCGACTAGATATGGAATAATTCATATGAATAATAGTTTATGCAGTTGATTTCCTTCTATTGGACGTTTACAATCTTTCTGATTTTTCCCTTCTATAAACAGCTTTGTAATGACATAGACAAATCTTTGGGTCCATTTCTAAGGATGGATTCTGAAAAGTGGAAACGCTGAGTAAAGGATTAGGCACCATTCTCAGGCTTTGGATAGTTCTTGCCAAATTGTCTTCCCAGGAGTTTAAATTCCTACCAAGGAGCATTCTCTGCATCGAATCCCACCACTCTTGGTTCTTCTCTGTTCATCACAAGGGAAGGAAAGACTGTGCCCTGTTAACATTTCTTTTCCACATGCTTTTTTTTCCAAATCTCCCACTGCTTTACTGAGAGTTTTTCTGAAATGAACGGAGGCTCAGGGTACAAGGTTGAAAAACTCTGCCATGGGCCAACAGCTGTTAATTTTGTCCAAGTTTGGCTTAAAACTCTTCTTTGTTCCTCCAAAAAAAGAGAACAGATAGCCTGTTAACTGGGTTTTGGCAGAATTAATAGGTAAACAAATCCTGCTTGCTAGACACTTCAAGGCATGGACAAGGAATATAAGTTGAAGTGTTAGTTTTCTGAATTATGCAATGAGAATCAGAAAATTTTTAGTTAATTTCATGAACAATAGCACACACTATTATATGTCAGATAGTATGGATTTAGTTTTAGCTCTTCAACTGGTGCCAGTCTGCCTGGGTTCAAGTATCCACTCTGGCATTTACTGGATAGCTTCTAGCAAGTTGCTGAACTTCCCTGTTCTAAGTTTCCTCATCAATAAAATGGAGATAGCTGCAGGACCAATCTCTTAGAGTTACCAATCTCTTAGAGTTATAGTAAAGAATAAATGAGTTAATATGTGTATAGCACATTGAACCGTTCTTGGCACATAGTGAGAGTCCAGTTATTGTTAGCCGTTAGTATTACTGCCTCCCCATGGAGTAATAGACCAGCACTGAAGGAGGCCTTGGAGGACCTAGCTTTTGGTGTTAGATTTGACCTCAGCCTCGAGCTGAAATCACCTCTCCTCTGAAGTGATGGGTTGGAATACATGGTTTCTAAGATCCCTTCTAGGTCAAGTAGATCTATTGTTGGTGGTGAAATGAAGGGGGCAGTGAAGATTGAATCTTGGCAGTGAGTACTGTTTACTAACCCTTCCCTCCAAGGGAGGATGGGACTTAAATAAGGGCTGGAGAGGACTAACCAATTTTGTCTCCCAAAGTTTGGTTCTTTCTTTGGTGGTGTTAGAATAAGATTGTATCCAATTTTGTTGACGGCTAGTTGGCTGGCTAAATGATTGGTCATTCAGAATTGCATTGTACATTTTGTTCATGGGTTTGGCCATTCATTAAACAAATGTTTATGGAGCACTTACAAGTGCATGAAGCTCTGTTCCAGAATCCAGAGATATGACTTTTAACAAAACAGGGGAAGTCGCCCTTGTGAAGCTTACATTCTAATCAGACAGTGAACAAACTTCCTAAATATGAAGAAAGGAGATAAAAATGCAAGGAGGAAAATAAATCGGAATAAGTGGGTAGAGTGTGGCAGGAAGAGGACTGTTTTTAGATGGAATGGCCAAAAAGAGGGCCTCTCTGAGGAAGTGACACTTGAGCAGAGACCTGATTGAGTGATGGAGCAATCCATATAGATATGTGAGAGAACATTCTAGAACAGTGGACCAGCAAGTGCAGAACCCTTGATATGGTAACCAGAGTGTGAGAGGGAACAAGGAAGACATTGAGAGGAGAGGAGAGAGCTAGGGCTCTCTAAGCCAAGGCAAAAGCTTTGGATTTTGTCTGAGTGGGATGGGAAGCCACTGGAGTGCTTTGAGCAGGACAGCAATATGATCTGACTTACCTTGTAAAAAGCTCACTCTAGTGCTATGTTGAAAAAGGGCTGTGGGGGTGCACGGTGGGGAGTAGAAGCAGGGAGGCAAGTTAGGAGACTGGGGTGGTGACATTTGAGGTGGTAAGACATGATCATTTGGGGGCACATTTTGAAAACAAACGTAACAGGATTTGGTGACAGATTGGATGTGGGATGTGAGAAAAACAGTCAAGTACGATCCCATGGGTTTTGGCCTTAGCAACTGAATCCATGAAATATCACTTACCGAGATAGGAAAGACTATAGGGAAGGAGCAGATTTAGGGGAGAAACTGAGTATTTGGTTTTAGACATAAGTTTGAAAGTTTATCACACATCCAAGTAGGTATGTTGAGGAGGCAGTCAAAAACGCAAGTTCAGAATTTAGGGGAAGGAATGTGGCCGAAGATATAGCTGTGAAAAAGAAAAAAAAAAAAAAAAACCTCACATGTTAATGAAGTTTGCCTGTTGTTTTAAATAAATAACAGTTATTGATTCACTTTCTGATTACAGAGTAGCTCATGTGACTTTCTTCCAAATTCTAAAAAGTTATCTATAATTGCAACACCCTTGATAACTGCAGTTAACATTTTTGTATATTTCCTTCTAGCCTTTTTCCCCCTTTCTTTCTGTATGTTTGTGTGTAAATGTGAGTTTCTGTGTTTTGACTCAGATGAGATTATAATGTATTGCTTGTTTTGTTTTCACTATACAATATCTCCTAGTGTTTTTTCACGTCATGAAATGTTACTGAAAAGCTTTTTAATAACAATTATTAGCATTGTACTAATGGAATGGATGGAAGTGAACATATTGAACTAGTTGGAAGAGGGTCTATTATAACTTGCTGTAATGAATATGTTCATGCACATCAGTATTTTTCTACAAGTGCAATTACTGGACCAAAGGGCAAAGTGTGTAATGCTCTGAATACTTTTTTTTTTTTGTCTTTTTCCGTGTCCGGCAACGGATCGCAACCCTCAGTGTCGCCCCCGTACCGGACCAGGACCGGCAACGGGATCGC